CATTGATGTGATAAATGATAATCAATAATTCCTCTGAATTCCGGGGAGCCTTGATTTCTGTGGGGAAGCAGTGGCCTCTCTGCCGAGGTCAGACAGACCCCACGCTGGGCCAGACCTACGACTCTCCAATCAGCAAAGCTCATGTTCCCGGCTGATTGTTGATCTCTGACTGTGACTCAGAATGGAATATATATGGGACCTCAGCAGAGAGGCCGCTGCTTCCCCACAGAGAGCTCAGTTTGTCTTCTATTTGGCGGTTCTTCTGCTACTTGGGTCTCTGCCCAGCGCAGGGACTGCCAAAGGCCGACACTAAGTCACACTGAGGCATGTCTACATGAAAGGCTTAGTGAAAGCACTGCAGCTCATACAGCAGAGCTCAGAACGGGAGAGGGAGAAGCATCCCAATCAGTCGTGCTGGCGGAACTTTCTGACCCACCTGCGTCCACGATGTGATCCATGGTGGGGAACCTCTTGAGGACGCGGGTGCTGACGGACCTCAGGATCAGCACCGATGACAGGTTGGCGTAGCGGATCAGGGTGCGTCTGAGCAGGCGGCCCCTCTCGTCCGCCCCGTGGACGGTGCTGGACACCACGCACATGAGCTGGTCCGGCAGGGGGATGCTGGTGTACTGGGCCCACCAACGATTGATGATCAGGTTGACGTAGAATCCCAGGACGAAGGCCACGGGGATGAGGTCCGTGTACTTGTTGCAGTAGTTTGCCACCTTCTCGAACATTCGCTTCTGTTCTTCATTCAGAGCCAATCTGAAGGGGGCAAATCAGCCGGGGTGTGAAGGGTTAATATATATAACAACCACAGGGGGGCGCTGTGTGCCTGGATCAGAGTCACCTGTACAGCACTGCGGTATATGTCAGAGCTATATACATGTAAAATAATAGTGTGTGACTTGGGGGGGAGGGGACATTAGTACGGATTAGATTGTCAGCTCTTCATCTATTTGTGTATGATTGAATCTCAGTGCTACGGCCTCGCTATGTACGGCGCTATGGAAGATGTTGGCGATATACATATTAGTTCGCTGACTCTCCCTTCTTCCTTCTCAGTGTAATTGATGATTTATTTGGTAATAAATGGAATGTTCGGAGTGTGAGAAGCTCCATCTGATGGTCGTATTTGTGGAGTTTAATGGCCGAATCACCTCCATAAATCTGCCACTTGTGTCACCGACCAGAACCATAAAACCATAATTCCGGACCCGAGAGTACAGGGCTGGGGGGAGGGGGGAGAAAACCCCAAATGCCAACCAGATCATACTGGAACTGTGTGCTCCTATTCTGTATGTATGGACTCTGCACAGTACCACTTCCCCTGTCCAGTATGCCGGGTGTCAATCTCGGTATCTGTTCTTATTCTGTATGTATGGACTCTGCACAGTATTACTTCCCCTGTCCTGTATGCCGGGTGTCATTCTCGGTATCTGTTCTTATTCTGTATGTATGGACCCTGCACAGTACCACTTCCCTTGTCCTGTATGCATTGTGTCAGTCTCGGTATCTGTTCTCATTCTGTATGTATGGACTCTGCACAGTACCACTTCCCTTATCCTGTATACTAGGTGTAAGTCTCGGTATCTGTGGTCGGTGTTCAGGCAAGTGGTATGAGGTGACTCACCTGTAGACGAGGCTCACGATGGTGTAGAGGGTGATGAATACCAGGAATTCTTTGTATAGAAGTTTATAGATACTTCCTTTCCATCGGAATAGAAGTTTGGAGAATCCTCCGAATCGCGCGTTGGCCACTTTCAGTGTGTAGGAGACGGTCATCCTGACTCTGCCAGAACCACAAGAGCTGACAATTACCTGAACAGACAAATAACTGCCCCCTGACCCCCCCCCGACC